CAAAGTGTAATGTTTTCAGCAATAGGACCTTACCATCTAGTTCTGGTGGGCAACCAAGAGCAATGATGATAGTGTGTATTCTTTGGGGGCTTCCCCAATCAATAACTCATAGGGAAGTGTCCCGTGGAGGGATTGGATTTTTATCTAATAATCTGAAAGCAAGCATTATCCACCAATGCGGGGGACCTGAGTTCAAACTTTTTTCCTTTAATTTTTTTAAAATTAGCTTACTAGTAAGCTAATTTTCTAAATTTAAAATTTTTATTGGGGCAGTCGTGGCACACACCTTTAATCCCAGCACTCTGTGAGTTGGAGGCCAGCCTGGTCTACAGAGTGAGTTCCAGAATAGACTCCAGAGTTACACAGAGAAACCTTGTCTCAAAAAACAAACAACCCCCACAGTATACATTTGTGTGTGTGCACACATGTGTGAGTACACACACCACAGTGTGAGTGTGGTGTCAGAGGACAGCTTTTGGGAGTTGATTCTCTCCTGCCATGTGAGTCTGGGGATGGATCTGGAGTTGTCAGGCTTGGTGGCAAGTACCTTACCTGCTGAACCATCTCTCTAGCTCTCCATATAGCTTTTTAAAACGTCCTTGGTTTTAGTTAACTTTCCCCCTCCCCACCTCCTCTCCTCTACCTCCCCACCCCACTTAAACCTTTGTACCCCGGTACCCCTCCCAGTACTCACATCACTTGTGTTCTACTACTGCTACCATGACTACCCAACCCCATTCTGCTGCCTTAAGTCCCTCCTGCCCCTGATCTGAGCCCTTTTCTCTTACTGGCCTCTACAGAAAATTTAAATTAAACACACATCTAAAAATTGAAAGCTAGGATGTATGTGGTAGAGAACATGTGGGAGGCCTGGGTTACCACACTCAGAATAATGTTTTCTAGTTTCATACATTTTCCTGGAAATTTCATAATTTCAGTTTCCTTTACAGCTGAATAAAATTCCATTGTGTATTGATGGACATCCAAACTGATTCCATTTCCCAGTTATTGTGAATAGAGCAGTAATGAACATGGATATACATATCTTTGTAGTAGAGTCCTTTGGGTATGTGCCCAAGAGTGGTATAGCTGGGTCATATGGAAACCTACTTTAAAAAAGTTTAGATCACCTTTAATCCCAGCACTGTAGAGGCAGAGGCAGGCAGATGTCTGTGAGTTCGAGGCTAACCAGGTCAACATAGTCAGTTCCTGGACAGTCAGGACTAAGTAGAAAGACTGTTTCCAAAAAAAATAAACAAAAAAATTTTTTTCAATAAAAAAAAAGAGTTGTAGATATCCTCCCTCTAGCCCCTAATGGGAGCTTGGCATGTAGCCCATGCTAACCTTCAATTTGTGTCTCCTGAATGTTGGGATTATAGGTGTATGCCATTATGCCTGGTCTCTGGATGTGTGTGTGTGTGTGTGTGTGTGTGTGTGTGTGTGTGTGTGTGTGTGTGTGTATGTATTATACTTGGAACTGTGAACCATAGAATCTTTTAAACTTGATTAATTTTTAACTCTGTGTGTGTGTGTGTATTTGTACACTGGGGACCAGCAGAGGGCAGTAGGTCCCCTGGAGTAGAAGTTATAGGTGGTTGTGAGTCCCATGACCTGTGTGGTGGGAACCAAACTGAGGTTTTCTGGAAGAGCAGTGCATGCTTTTAACCACTGAGCCAGCACTCTAGACCTGAGCTGTAGAATCTTGAGCAGTACTGTATCCTGACTATGAAGATAAACTGCTGTTAAACCTTTTCTTCTGGCAAAATAGATCATTCCTTATCCTCCCTGGATGTGGCCTGCTGCATTCTCTTACTTTCTGGAGTTAAGGTATCAGTCCATCCTTCTGGAAGGAATCGTATTTTGTTTCCTACGAAGCAGCCCTAACTACAGAAGACTTTTAGGCACCCTCTTTTTGTGAGAGATGAGTGTTCCTACCCAGAAGCACAGTAAGGAGAAAAGTCACAGGAGCCACAGACACCTCCACTGTAACCAAATTACAAAGGACTGATCAAGGAACTCGGGTGGGAATAGAATAGACCCACAGGCCAGTGCTGGGCAGGCTCTTCTTCGGGCCTGACTAGAATGGACAGAGAAATTGCTGTTAACTGGTGGACGGGGTTTGGCAGAGGCCCTGGCTTCCTGTCGGGGACTTGAGCTAATGCAAACCCTGCTGCCATGCGGGTGAAGCTGGCCAGGCTGTTCCTGCTGAGTCTTGTTTCACCCCCACCCACCCTCAGTTCCACAGATGCTGGTTTCTTTGCAAGCTCCACGCTGACTGGAGACTGAAAGCCGCTCATTGTTTTTAAACTCTTGTTTAGATAACAGCACATGCCTGTGGTGGCCAGAGCACCCTGTCAAGGAAATGCCTGGGCTCCAACAGCCCTGTCTTTCTTTCTCTGTGTGAGTGTGGTTTGTGCTCAGGACATTATAAGATCATTTCTTTCTCTGCAGGGTTTATTACTTGGGGACTTGAGGGATTCTAGGCTTCTCCTTGGTACTTGGAATTCTGGGATGGTTTTTTGTCTTTTCTCCCTTCCATCCATTCCAGCCAGGAGGATTGCAGGCTATTTTATCCAAGCCTTGTTTGTACACACAGCTGGACCACGACAGCATTCCTCCCCTTGGTGTGACGATTGCCTGGGAGGGTGAGGTAGGCACGACTGTGGCTGGTGTTGGCAGTAGTTTTTATGACCGTGGTGGGTTGGCAGCCAGCCCTGCACCGATGTTTCCAGGACAACTCTTCCCATAGCTCTTCTTCTTTTCCTCTGTCCTCATCACTCTCCTGCCCCCAAAAGCTTTCGCTGGGATGGTTCAGTAAGCCATAGAGTACTTACTGCTTTTGCAGAGGACTCAGGTTAGATTCCCAGCACCGTCTTGGTGGCTCACAGTCATCTGTAACTCCAGTTCAGCGGGGCTGATGCCCTCTTATGACCTCCATGGGCATCAGGTACACATAGAGTCACATACTTACTTGCAGGTAAAATATGCATAATACATAAAGTAAATTAATATAAAATTAAAAAAATCTAAATACGGGCTGGATATGTTCACTTGGTATTTATTGTTTGCCTAGCATGCATGAAGCTAGGTTCAGTCCATAGCACCATGTATGGCCCTGCTGTGGTGGCACTCATCTACAATACCGACACTCAGGAGGTGGAGACCTGAGGAGCAGACAGGCAAGTCAGGACCTTGTCACCAAAAGAAGTTACTTAAAAACGTACGGGTTTTGTTTTAATTTCATATCTGTTGGTGTTTTGCCTGCATGTGTATCTGTGTGAGGGTGTCAGATCCCCTAGAATTGGAGTTACAGACAGCTGTGATCTGCCATGTTGGTACTGAGAATTGAACCTGGGTCCTCTGGAAGAGCAGCCAGTGCTCACCAGCCCCCACCTCTACGCCCACCCCTGCCAAAAAACAAAACAAAACAAAACTTTTTTTTTTTTTTTTTTTTTTTTGAGCTGAGGATCAAACCCAGGGCCTTGTGCTTGCTAGGCAAGCGCTCTACCACTGAGCTAAATCCCCAACCCAACAACACTTTTTTTAGCTGTGTGTGTGAGTGTATGTGACACATGTGCCAGCGTGTGTGTGTGTGTCCTGCAGAAGTAAGTACTCCCTCTACCACTTGTGTCCTGGGAACCGAGCTCAGGTCTCAGGCATCTTACTGCTTCATCTTTAACAAATTACAAATAAAAATAAATGTTTCTTATGCTTGTGTAATCATTGCAAATTACCAGGAGAAACACTAATGATTCTTGTGTTTCTAACAATACAAAAGATAAATATATTGCTTAAAACTCCATTATTAGTTAATCCCAGCACTCAGGAGGCGGAGGCAGGCTGATCTCTGAGTTTGAGGCCAGCCTGGTTACTGAGTGAGTTCCAGGACAGCCAGGACTACACAGAGAAACCCTGTCTTGAACTCCTACTCTCCAAAAAGGAAAATCCATTATTGGACAATTGGGGTAGACACTACTCCCTTCTCCAGGGTCTTTCAAGTATCTATTTGGGCATGGTAAAACAAATAACTAATGATTTTTTTTTTTTTTTCGAGACAGGGTTTCTCTGTGTAGCTTTGCGCCTTTCCTGGGACTCACTTGTTAGCCCAGGCTGGCCTCGAACTCACAGAGATCCGCCTGGCTCTGCCTCCCGAGTGCTGGGATTAAAGGCGTGCGCCACCACCGCCCGGCGCATAACTAATGATTTTAATGTCTCCTTTTTTTCAAGATGTGTTGTGATACCTTTTCTATTAATTTTTTACATTTATTTGTGTATATGTTGCCATGCATGCCAGTGTGTGTGTGTGTGTGTGTGTGTGTGTGTGTGTGTGTGTGTGTGTGTGTGTGTGTGTGTGTGTGTGTGTGTGTGTGTGTGTAGAAGTCAAAGTATAACTTTGGGGTGTTCTCTTTTTACCATGTGAGTCCCAGGGTCTGAACTCAGGTCCAAAGCCTTGGCAGCAAGTGCCCTTACCCACTCAGCCATCTTGCCCTTGATAATCTTTTCTTGTAAAATTATTCAAAATTTACCTTTGGAGGTTGAAAGAAAGGCTTACATTTTAAATAACTTCTTTTAATGTAATCAAGGAACCATTCCCCCTACCCAAAGGAGCCATTCTTTTTGTTGTTGTTTTGGTTTGGTTTTTTTTTGCTTTTTGTTTTTTGTTCTTTTATTTTGAGATAGGGTTTCTCTGCGTAGTCCTAGGTGTTCTGGAACTCACTCTATAGACCAGGCTGGACTCGAACTCAGAGATCCACTTGCTTCTGCCTCTGAGTGCTGGGATTAAAGGTGTGTGCCACTATAGCCCAACTTCAAGGAGCCATTCTTAACATAATTATTATATTCTAATAGAAGATGCTCTTACATTTAAATACCCTTTGGTTGACATTCTGATATAAGCCCTGCAGGACAGCCTGGACGCATCTGAAGAAGCTAATTCAGTATGTTTTACAGCTCTTCCCGTCTGCCTCAGACTTGATCTTTGTCCTTTGCCTTCCTTCCAGTTCCCTCCTGCGCTATGGTGGCAACCTCTCTCTCCAAAGTGCCATGAGTGTGCGATTCAACAGCAATGGGACCCAGCTCCTGGCCCTGCGGCGGCGCCTGCCCCCTGTGCTCTATGACATCCACTCCCGCCTGCCCGTGTTCCAGTTTGACAATCAGGGTTACTTCAACTCATGCACTATGAAGAGCTGCTGTTTTGCAGGGGATCGTGACCAGGTCAGTGCCTTGGCTGTCTGCATCTCCATGTCTTACTGTATTGCTCTCAATTTCTCTTTTGTACCACACGAAGTAGAAACTTTGGAGGGGAAATAGTAATTCTGATATATGTAAATTGTTTTGCCTGCATGTATGTCTGTAAGGATGTTGGATTCCCTGGAAAAGGAGTTACAAACAGTTGTGGACTGCCATGTGGGTGCTGGGAATTGAATCCAGGTCCTCTGGAAGAGCAGCCAGTGCTCTGAACCACTGAGCCATCCCTCCAGTCTCACAGTGACTGTTTTCATCCAGGATGCCGGGGTGCATTCATTCAAGGCACACCCTGTAAACCAAGGCTAGCTACAACCATGGTTCTAAGTAGCTGCTCTGCCACACTTGTGAATGGATCTTGAGATTCTAAGAATGTGCTATTTGAAAGGAAAGAGGAGTTTGTGGCAAATGAGCCTGCCAGTGGAAGGTGTTTCAGTACCACAGTGATGAATGAAAACCCACATGCCGTCCGGGAGACATGTCTCTTGAATGGCTGGCTGCTTGGATGGCATCATTTTCTTGGATGAAATGGCCTCAGCAGCCTTGTTTGAGAAAGAGCCAGCATCGTAACTAGAACTTTGTAGCCCAAGCTGTGTGTTTCTAGTCTTTTCTGAATTACTGGGATTAGAGATAGTGATGTTGGTTTAATGGGGGCAGTTTAAGGAAGGCCTAAGTGTGGTGGTATTTTACTTATACTGAAATGTGATTTTAATTGTATGTTAATAAATAAAGTTGTCTGGGGGTCAGAGCTATTAGAGTCATAACAAGTGCGTGGTGGCGGTGGCGCACGCCTTTAAGGACCTGGAGGGCGGTACACTCAGGCAGTGACGAGGCAGTCACATGTTTGGGTTTACAACCAATGAGAAGGCAGAACAGGAAGACTTTAAAGACAGACACACAGGAAGTAGGTCCTTTTCGGAGAGCTCTCTTGGCTAGAGAGGATCCCTGAATCAGGAAGGGTGAGGCTCTTAGTTCTGACCTCTTGGCGTTCTTCTCTGAATTGGCTTTGTGTTTCTTATTTTATAAAACCGTTGGTTACATCTACACCTAAGGGTTAAGAGTACTTGCTGTTCTCCTGGAGGACCTGAGTTGGTTGGGTTCCCACTACCCACATCAGGCAGCTCACAGCCACCAGTGACTCCAGCTCCAGGGGATCCTATGTCTTCTTCTCACCTCTGAGAGCACCTGCACAGGAGCACCATGCATAGATATGCAATGTACACATAAATGAGTTTAAAGGGGGCAGTTTAAAAGAGGACTTGGTCCACTTATCTCTGTCTGAGCCAGAGAATTCTGATGTAGTTGTCAGTGATCATTTGGACTGGCCTCAGCAATTGAGCTGAGTAAAGAATCTGTTGCTGCTGACTCTTCAGCAATACAGCGTTTTTTTCAAGGATAATGAATCTTACTGCGCCTAACATCCAGATAGGGGAAAGAAATGCTAGTGTCTTAGGAGTGCTGTGACCCACCAGCTATGTCACATTTGACATTAAAGTTGACATGGGCAGCAGGGTGTGGTGTCACACGCCTTTAATACCAGTACTCCAGAGGCAGGTGAATCTCTGCGGGTTGAGGGCAGCCATTTACCTACATAGTCAGTTCCAGGGCAGCCAAGGCTACACATCAAGACAGTCTCAAAATAAATAAATTAGTTAATTAATTAAAGTCTCATAGACTGTGCCTCATCTCTTCAGAAATACTTGTTTGTTTGCTTTTGGAAAGAGGCATAAAAGAAAGAATTCTTTGAGAATCTCAAAAGAGCCTGGTTTTCTTTTCTTTTTCTTTCTTTTTTTTTGTTTTGTTTTGTTTTTCAAGGCAGGGTTTTTCTGTGTAGCCCTGGCTGTCCTGGAACTTAACTCTGTAGCCCAGGCTGACCTCGAACTCAGAGATCCGCCTGCCTCTGCCTCTGAGTGCTGGGATTAAAAGTGTGTACTACTACTGCTTGGCTAAGATAGTCTCTTTTTACAGGTAGAGAATAGGTGCTCAAATTTAGGATTTATTCTCAATTTGGAATCCTAGGGCCTACTTACTTGAGATCTACATTGAACACCATTGGATAGTTAGATAAGGGATGTCTCCTAGGGAAGGCCTAGGAGAACCTAAATGGCCACAGAACCTAAATGATTTTGTTTTTTATTTGCCTGTGTGGTATTATAGACTTGAGATAAAATTGTGTGTGTGTCTGCATGAGTATATGAGCACCATGTGCATGTTTGAGCCTACAGAGACTAGAAGATGGCATCGGATTCTCTGGAACTAGAGTTAACGGGGAGTGATGAGCCACCACTTAAGTGCTGGGAACCAAACCCAGTCCATTACAAAGAGCAGCAAATGCTCTTAACCACTGAGCCATGTTTCCAGCTCTCCACTCCCCCCCCCCTTTTTTTTTTCTTTTGAGGTGGGGTTTCATGTAGCTCAGACTGGCCTGGAACTCAGCATGTGGCTGAGAAAAACCTTAAACTTGTTAATCCTCTTTCCTCACTTCCTGGGTCACATGTTGGGGTTACAGGTATAAATCACCAAGCACAACTAATGCTGCTCTGGGGGTGGAACCCAGGGCTTTGTACATGCTAGAGAAGTACTCTATCGACTGAACCACACCCTCAGGCACAGGGTTTTTCTTGAGTGAAGGAAGGATGAAATAGGTAAAGAAAGTAGATGCTGTGTTTTCTTCAGATGGTATTAGCATCCAAAGCCTGTCTTCATGGTATCCTTAAAACACCCAGATCAAAGGCCTCTGCCGAAATGTAGAGCATGTAGGACCATGGTCTCAGTTGTAGCACCGTGTGTATTTTGGCCTGATGAGTCTTTGCTATGATGGGTTGTTCTGTGTGTTGTAAGATGGGTAGGGTAGCAGCATCCCTGGCCTCTCCTCACTAGATGCCAATAATGTCATCCTCTTTTGTCCTCCTAAGAGACAAAAGATGGCCAGACATTGTCAAGTGCCCCTTTAAAGATTGTAAAGATCCAGCATGCCCAGAAACACTGATATTGCCAGAGCAGAGCCATGTAAACTGTTTTGAAGATATGACTGGGTTTTGCTTTGTAGATTAATATATAATGATAAAAAATGGTGTGCCTTTTGGTTTTCTCTATTGAGATTTGACTTAAGTTATTATTTATAACTTTTATCCTAGTGGGAGTGTGTAGACATTATAGTCTCTTTGATAAATTATATTGCTTTTTGGTTATAATAAATGGTTTTTCTTGGATGAAGAGGATGTAAAAGTTATTGACTCTGGCCTTGAATCAGTCTTCAGTCTACTGGTATCCCCCTTATAGAATATCAGAGACATCTAATCCAGTGGAGTAGGAAATAGATTTATGTTTGACATTTCTGTTCACTCCTTAGGGATGAAGAACATAGCCAACCCATCATTATCTTGTCTCCAAATCCTAGGATGTAGTAAGAGCACAATAAAAATATTTGTTGAAGTGACTCTTGGGTACTTTGATAGATGTGTGGTATTTAGCACTCTGGACAGAAAGCTACTACAACTGTAAATCAGGATTGGTAATCATTTTTCCTGTCCAACTCCTAGAGGCCTTGATTAGGATGAATTAAGTAATGTATTTACAGTGAACTAAGCTTATAGCTTTAAGTGTACAAACAGTTTTAGGTGGCAAACAGACTTAATGTCCTAGCCTTGGAACACGTCTCTCAAAGAGACTCTGATTTCCAGGGTCAAGGCTTACTACTCAGCAGCAGCCAGTTTACTGTGATCTGTACAACTGGGAGTTTTTCACTAGTCCAGACAGGATCTTTTTTGCTGTTTTTAAGTTGTTTGGGGCAGGATCTCAATATATTTGCCTAGTCTGGCCTCGAACTTGCAATCATAATGTCTCAGCCTTCTAAGTGGGTAGGATTATAGGCATTTGCCACTACATCCATCTTTATATTGACATCATTCCTATGTCTATACTCTGAAGACTCCTGTGGCCTGCACTCTTCATTTAGTCACAGGCTGGGTAATCATCCCGGAGAGGAATTTGAGAATTTCCATAATAGGAATGAATGAACATGGATGATCCCATCTATCTGGGACAGCCTTCTAGCTTTTAATTACAAGAAGATTAGTCAGGCCCTGTGAATGGATCCAAATACTGTACCAGAGGGTCTGAACTTTTTTTTTTTTAACCATCCTACATTCACTAGGTAGTCCATTTGCCTCAAAATGAAATTAATATTTTGAGAAATTAGACTCAAGGAATAACGTATGAAATAATGCTGAGCCCACTTTGTGGCTGACAAGTTCTAACCACAGAGCTTTCAGAGGTCATTTTGAACCAACTCTTCCTTTTGAGAAAGCTGTGATTCAGAAAGGTAAGGTGCCCAAATCGCCACATGTGTTCTGTAGCTGAACGAGGACTAGAACTCAGACTCTTAGAAGCAAGACAGACTGTGAAAACGAGTCAGTTTGTCTGGAGTGTACAGTAAGGAGCAGTGGGAACTGTAGTTACCTGGAAAGCCTGTGTTCTGTCAAAGTGGGATGGTTCCTACTTCGTTTGTCCATCATTCCCGGGACAGTCTTCGTGTTGCCAAGTATCGGACTTTTTTTTTTTTTTTTTAAACAAAGGTAGATTTTCTTGTGAAATACTGCTTTTAATTACTGTAACAAGTTGATACCTCATTGTAGTATTAAAACAAATCTGTATTGTCTGTATTCTGATGTAGGCCACCTTGAAATCTCTGTGCCTTACTCCGCAGGATATTTTATCTCATGGTTGGTTCATGGTCTGTCTGATTAATGCTTGAGTGAAAACGACATTTCCTAGCTTTATGCCTGTTAAAATGAATAGAGCAGACGTTTGGTGAACATTTATTATGCTCCAGATGCTACGGTGGACCAGTTCACATGGCTTTGCATGGTTTGATTTTCATTCCAAGCTCTTTATATAGTCTTCCCTGCTTTAGGCTACTAATGCATGGTTTGTTTATCTCTAGTATATATAATAATATTCACTGCTAG